TGGACAATAGAAAATTCGAATACTTTTTCAGATAGCAAATCATTGTACCTACTATATAACTATAGTTACCTCGTTAAAAGTCGTTGTTTAAAGACATTATCATAGTACCTCCATGAGAAAAATTTGTTCTATTAAATCTAGCCAATGTGGTATAATTTTTAACAAACGCAGGCTCATCAAAATTTAACCAGTGCTCAGTTATGGCAATGATATCTAATTCAAGTTCTTCTAGTAAAAGATATAATTCATCTGTTTTATGTCTTAAGGACTGAATATTAATAAGGAGTAGACCAAGCTTGCTATCGCTTAACTTTTCAGAGGGTGTTTGATCCTCTGTTCGCGTCAATTCAACTAAAAATTTTTACTCTTATTTGGGGAGCCACTGGAATAATATTTGCCATGAGTTTCCCTAATCTTTTGAAGTCGTAGAAGGCTCTCCGCAGAAAAGAATACCTGAAAGCTGAAAGATCTGCATCAACTTCAGTTGAACCAATACCATAGGCGTTGTGGAAGCGGTAGTACAACTTACGCAAGGACTCCAGGTCACTAGGTAGCCCTTCTGATGCAAGCATCAATTTGATGCTGGTACTAGTGTGTCCTTCAAAACACACACTGGATGGTTGGTCGTGAAGATAGGCAAGGAATAGCCTAAGAGATTTCAAAATGGAGGGGTCCCTCAACCTGGCCAACACGTAACGTCCATTTACCGCATCTGAGTCCTGAGACAGCCGTACTATAGGTGGGGTCATCGGGTCCATAACTGCCAAACCATCTCTCTTCGCACTTCCCTGCACAATAATTTCTGGATTTTCCATCGCCAGGGACTTGCAAGCAGCTATAGCCTCCCTGTCAGACCCAATCTTAATAGTTCTTACCTCCCTTGGCATAGTTGCCAGTGGTGGGTCAAGTAGGTGAGGTAGCTTGCGGTTCTCAATGATGTTTATTTTGAGATTTTGAGCAGGTTCAACCGAAGAAGTAAACGAAGCTTGGCTTAAGGATGTTGAGGTTGAATCTATTATGGTTCCCGGCGGCCACATATTTATGTCCTTAAGCTGCACCAAGTGACACCTCTTTTGCACTCCAATTTTGAAATCGGAATGGGAACTGTCCTTATTTTTCAGCATTGGAAAGCATCTGATGAAGTCGGTGGTTCCTAGTTTTTCTTTAACATAGTGCGCAAGTTGATTCGCTGTGTAAGGAGGTGGAATTCTGGACACCACCACATAATTCCAGTCTTCTCTTATGGCGGCCTTAGGAGGTTGCGATGACACTATTTTGGGTGAAACTATTTTTTTTGGCGAATCTATAAAAGCTAAAGTACTATCTAAAGTACTATTTTGGTGATCTATAGGGCCCGTCTGCGTTGAAATGGATTTTTTCCGCTGCATATTATGATCTGTACAGGTCTTATCCCTTGTAACAAGCTTTTCCAATGTGAGCGACATTTGTTTAACGCTCTTCCTAAGGTCAGCCATTTCCTTCGCCATTTCTTCCTTAGATGGGTCATGAACTTGGACTTTAACAGACCCATCATGGTTGTCCATTAAAATTGATGATAAATTGAAGGTGTCTTGCTTTATCCCATTTATAGACTTAAATAAGGATTCTTGTGTGGTATCTGATATCCTGGATATGTCATCAATTTTCTTGAGTAAAATTTTCCACTTGGAATCGTGGTCACTCAGCATGTCATACATTTCAGTTATGACTGGAAAAATGTCAATATTTTTTTTTAAACAGAATCCTAGTGCTTCGATGATTTCTGGTTGGACCTGGCATTCTTGAAGCTGTGTAATTCTATCATGAACATATTTTAATGTAGGGGAATCGCAGACAGTGCAGAAAAATCTAACATTGTGGTACTTTTGTTGACATAGCACCTTTGTTGTTGCCTTATCCAGGCCTGTACAGGTCATACAAAAACTTCTTCGACACTCTCCACTACAGCGAACCTTATAACTGTCCTTTTGGATTTTTTGACAAGAATCGCACTTAAATTCAGCCATAATAATTTAAATGATTAATAATATTAATAAAAGTCGATGACAACTGAATAAAATTCGGAAATATAAACAAGCTAAAACTCACGCACAGCGGAAACAAGTACGCCGAAAAATTTTCAATTAAGGTTGCAAAAAACTAACACACGTAAACAAAGTCAAGTTTAAACGAACAGTGAACTTTGAGTTGATTTCGGGTCAGGAACAAAAACAAGTCAAATCAAAACAAAACAAAACGTTCAATAACCGGCAGACAAAACGCACGATCGGTAACACAACCTTCTCGTACGACTGCTAAACTGTTACTGAATATATATAACATAACATAAGATATGTCGGGGAGAATAAGAAAATACTCCAAAAATTATTTATTTAAAATTAAAAAGTACGGCTGGGCTAAGGTCTAAATATGACAACGAAAAGAAATAAAAAAATTACGACTGAAAGGAAATGCGGAAAACTATAAGAGTTCAGCAAGTGTATCTATATTGAAGAGATCGGTGTGTAAGAAACCTGCCGGGATGTATCACACTCACAACTTTCCCACGTTTCCTAATCTTCACTAGAGATATACCGCTTAATTATTAAGAGAACTGACAGAACGATTTACTGCGGATTGTTTTCGGAAAAAGAATTAAGCTAAAGATAGTTTATCTAAGCAGTCAATGAAGAACCTGGAATTCGAAGCAACCTGCCGGGATTTATCACACTCACAACTTACTTATTTTACCAAGTCCGCATTAACGACCCAGATATGTTTTAAGTGATTAAAACAAAATCTAAGACCTGACCTAATGATTTTTTTTAAATTAAATTACCAATAAGGAATTTAGAGTTTGAAGCAAACTGCCGGGATTTATCACACTCACAGTTTACTTGCTTTTCCAAGTCCCCATTGATAACTCAAGCGTATTTGATTTTAAGGATTTGCTATTGATATTTAAAATATTTTTTTTTTACTTTTGGAATTTATTCTAAACTATTTAGACCTTGTCACGGTACAGGATTCCTTTCTGAAAAAAAAATAAAAACCAAATAAACAACAAATTCTCGATACTCAATACTATACCATACTTATCCTGAAGGTTACCTTGCGGGCGGTTTCGGAGCGACGCGACGGCGGATTAGAAACGACGGAGGGCAGCAGGCTTTCCAACTGCTAGGCGGCGGCTGTGTTTCGGGGCTGGCTTCTGCTTGGCGGACTGCGGCGACTGTTCCTGCTGGTGCTGGTGCTGTCGGTGGTGGTGGTGTAGGAACTGCGGTGGCTTCTTCTCGGTTGGTGGCTGGGTCAGGAACTGCCTTCCTATGGCTGGCGCGTCGCTTCTTATTTTCCCCAGTCCTTCCCTCCAGTTGAGAACCGTCGTGGTGGCGGCGAGCGCCGAGCGGTGTGCGCGTCTCGATACACTTTGGTCGAGTACCAGCGGTACCAAGCGGGTTGCATCGAGTAGTGATGGGCAAAACCAGTACAATTGGTTGTACTAGCACACTTCGTACAGTACACTTAATTGTATCGTACAGTGCGTGTCGTACAATTGTACGACGAGATTCACGAGATCAAGGGCGGACGGCAACGGAGTAGAATGAGTATGAGTCACCCGTAACAGAAGCGTACGAGTACAGTTGTACAAATATAGGAAGAGACTTGGGGATAGCACCGGTCGCTATATAGGTCGCACCGGTTATTTTATATTTCTCACGTCTCTAGCTATACTTGTTAAGTTGTACGATACGTACCTATCGTCCCATTGCTGCCAAAAGTCACTAACTTACTTTTTATTACTTCCGAGAAAAATGCGTCTAAAAATGAATTACATTGCATAAAGATGTTATAGTTAGTAACTATTCGGTATTAAAATAAAACATAAATATCCAGAAATCGTAGTTAATGACTTTTGCAATTGATTCTCCGCTTCAAAACATAGTTAGTGATTGAATTTGGTTGTTCGGAAAAATGTTAGTTAGTGACTTTTGGCAGCAATAGGACGATATTTACTATGCTACTATACTTTATACCGTATGATCGAATAAAAACGGCGCCAACGATGGCTATGAAATGAAGATCGCTGTCATTTTATATGTAAAATTATATGGGAAATGTCATCGATCGTCATTTCCAAGCCAACTGGATGTCGTTTTTTTTTCGATCATACGGTACTTTACTAATGTACCTAGTAATAAAATCTACAAAATAGCAATACCTTCAGAATTGTTTAACTATAATTATTATATTTTTATATCGATAAATCAAGTTCTAGAATATCTACGTATATTTTGAATTTAAATTGAAAATCCTAAAAAAAAATTACCTATTTGAATTAGGATATTAGAAACCAGGCATATTAGGCATACGTAGAAGTACCTATAAACTACAAAAATAAATCGCTACTAATTTTCAAGTTAAACTAAAGTTTCAGCGCCCGCTTATCAATGGTAAAAGTGCATTTCAGACGCTTAAAAAATATGATTTATGGTTTATGGTAGGCCGGAGTTCTTTGAAATTCTATCTGATATGTATTTTATTATTTTATGATTTCGGGCGGACTGATCGATGTGGCGACAACAGAATGTATATTATATATTTTTTTGTTTATAGCTTCCTAGGAAAAGAGATAACACGTGGCTGTATTCACCTTATTTAGGGTTTAAGGTGTTGGATATATATCAATATTATATAATATTTCTATACCGATAAAAAGACAAAACTTGAACTACTTTGAACCACGCGTTCTTGGTGTCTATGTTTATATTAACAACATAAAAATTAATGGTGTTAACGTAAACACTGGTGGGTCTTTTTGACCTGATGCGGATGGATGTCTTATGTATTATTATTTTTTAGTCCTACTCAACTCTTCGTTTATTACATTCGTATCGGCTAGGGGTTTATATTCCCAGTTATCTTATTTAGTTATCCCGTAGAAACCGTACCGTCAACCGTGGAACCGTGATAAACTTTCTTGGCGTAACCGCGTAACAATTTGATTGACACCAGTGCCCAACATGAGTGATTTACAACATAACGCAAGACGAAAAAGTTCAGTATGGTCTTATTTCAAGGAGATTGTTGCAAGAAAATCGGCAAAATGTAATTTTTGCTCTCAAATTCTATCAATCAAGGGAGGTTCTACTCATACTCTCACAAGACATCTCAAAAGTAAGCATATACATGCGTATAATGCAGAAACTTCTTCAAGCAGTGTATCTGAAAGAAATGATCCAAACCCAAACCCAACTCCAAACCCAACTGAAACCATAGAGACCGAAACCACTACAACAGTTCCATTTGAAATAAATGAAGGTGCATCAACGTCAACTGCAGCTACCAACATACCAAACCAATCGAGATCCTATAAAAAAAAAGGCACTTCAACAATAACAGAATATTTTCACAAGCCAATTAGTAATAAAAAAACATATCAGTTTAATGAGTTATTAGTGCAAAGTATCGTGAAAGATTACTTACCTTTTCAAATCGTAGAAAGTCAAAGCTTCAAGAAATTCATAGCAGCTTTGAATCCTGGTTATCAAATGCCTTCCAGAACAACTTTATCCATTGTCCTAATACCGCAAATGTACAATATGAAAAAAGAAGAAGTTCTTCACAGCCTTAAGTCATGCAAAGCCATTTGTTTGACGACAGATAGTTGGACATCGGTGGCTAATGAAAATTATGTATCGGTAACAGCTCATGGGATAAACAAAGAAAACGAAAATGTAACATTTTTGCTAGAATGCTACAATTATTCTGATAGTCACACCGCAGACAATTTGGCTAACGAACTTAAAAGAATAACCGAAAAGTGGGAAATTTCGGAAAAAATTGAAGCAGTTGCTACTGACAATGCGGCCAATATTACTGCTGCAATAAGACAAACACAATGGAGGCACGTGCCCTGTTTCGCACACACACTAAATTTAGTTGTTCAAACTGCAATGGAAGAAATTAAGCAAATTCAGACCAAGGTGAAGAAAATAGTTGAATTTTTCAAAAGAAGTCCGAAGGCAACCGCTCTCCTGAAGACGATGCAACAACAAATGGGGCATTCTGTATTAAACCTCAAACAGGATGTAATTACCAGATGGAATTCAACATATGACATGTTCAAGAGAATATTAGAAACTAAGGAATCTTTAATTTCTACTATTGCAATTAACTATCCAAACTTGGAAAATTTGAACAATGAAGAGTTTAATATCCTGGAGAAGTGTTGTGAACTTTTAGGTGTTTTTAAAGATGTAACAGAAGAGATTAGTAGTGAAAAAAAAGTTACGGCATCCAAAATAATTTTGCTTAGTTCCGGCCTAAAAAAATATTGTGCAAACTATTTAAATAATAATCCAGATTTACCAAAGTTAGTTCGTGGTTTGGGACAGTCACTGTTGGCATCCCTTAATAAAAAATTTAATAATATAGAACAACACAAAGTCTTTTCCGAATCTACATTTTTGGATCCTAGATTCAAAAATCATGGATTCACTAGCAAAACTTGTTTTGAGGCTACAAAAGACAATATAACTCGTTATATTACAACCTTACCGAAAGAAACGGAAGACGAAATAAATGTAGAACGACTTAACGAAAATGACTCCGAGGAGCCCAAACAGCCATCTAAAATATGGGACGATTTTGATCAAAACGTATCAAAATTGGTTGGCAGTAGTAACCCAAAAGTTTCGAGTATCATTGAAGTTGAAAAATATATGCAAGAGCCACTTTTATTAAGAACCGCAAATCCACTTAAATGGTGGAAAGAACGCCAATCTGTTTATCCACGACTCTATGACCTAGCCATGAAAAGACTTTGTGTTGTTGGGACTTCCGTTCCAAGTGAAAGGGTGTTCTCTAAAACTGGACAAATCATTACAGAACGGCGAAACAGACTAAAAGGTGAAAAAGTTAATCAAATTGTTTTTTTGAACGTAAATTTATAAATTAATTTAATTATTTACTTTATTGGTTTAGTTTGTTTACATTTCCTGTTTGAAAAACTAATTATTTTTTGTTATTATATTAATATTATGTTATATTATATGTTATTTTATTATAAGAATATTTTTTATTTGTTCTTTGGTACCTATGTTTTTTTTTATATTATATGTATAAGTTTATGTTGTTTCCAATAATTAATATTTTTCATAGAATGTAAAATATAAAATAAATATTAAGCCATTGAGAGTTAATAAATTCTTTTTCTTCTAAGTACAAGGTCCGTATGATTGCGATTACTGTAACTGTACTAATAAGATAGCACACCCTATAATATACACCATATATACACAGTACATCAATTCACTACGTACGTGCGTATTACTGCGTACGTAGTGTACGTATTTTGGTTTAAAGCTAATTTAACCAAGCAACAGTTCCCGTAGTATGTTGTGCTGCCGGTCCCCGGTCCCGGGTCCAGTGCTTGCAAAGATGCAAAGTACATAGTACAATGATAATGGTGGATTGTACGTTTCGTACAATAAAATTGTACGACACGTACACCGTACATTGAAATGTATCGTACATTTTGTACGACACGCACACGTACTTCCCATCTCTAGCATCGAGCGCGTGGAATGCGTTCAATTATTAATTAGCGCTTTTTAAGCTAATTAATGAGTTCGGTTCGTACGTTAATCCAACAAATAAAATTTTATTTAAAAAGTACTATGTTCTCGAAAAAGAACCAAATTTTTCTAATGTATGGAAGAGTAGAAAGATAAATTAAATAAAGAAAATTCGTAATCGGCGGAAAAAAGGGAAAAATAAAATTAAATATTACTAAGAAAAAATGGTAACTTCGTTACAACCGTATTATTAAAAGTACAAACAACTGAAATGTGGGGCTAAAGTAATAAATATTAATTATTTTCAACAAAACTGCAAACCTTGAATGTACATAACTTTTTCAAATACAGTTCATGCTAATATAGAATCTGCATTTGCCGCACATGGATCGTTCACATTCGATTCATCAGATTTTTGTTTTTTGTCATTTCTTCGTTGACATATATGACAGCTCTTTCTTTTCTGGTATTGATTATTCAATTTTCTCTCTTCTATAAGTAAGAGATTCAGAATCGGAGTTATGGTTACTCTTCGGAAAAAATCAACGTCTCGATGATCTTCATCTCACTTAAGCCTCTTTAAGTTCATTAAACTACTCAATTAATGCTTCCCCAAAATTAGCGTCCCAGTGAGGCACACTTTTTTAACAACCCACCATCCTAATAATGAAACATTTTTGGCGAGGTGGTGCCACACAGACCCCAATGAAATTTTAGCCCCCGCTGGTAGGAACAATACTTGATAAAATCAAGTGCGCCTTTAACAGTTGCATATTGGTACCCTAACTTAAAGGTAAATGGCGCGGCAAGGCCTAATTCTGAAACGTAAACACTTTACAGAGGTTTAAATAGTGCTTGGGGGCTGCTAGCCCCACCTCTCCAGTTGAGGGTTAATTTTCCATAAACGGGTATCCAAGTTATTGAACCAGTACACTCAGATGCAAAAAAAACGCAACGGAGAAATTTTTGGTCTCACTTAAAGTGTTATATTTTTGTTATTTTTTACCATATTTTCATTTTTTTAGCAAACTGTACGTAATTATATCAACTTCCGTAAACTAAAAGTTTTTTTATAAACTTTACTATTTGGCATATTATACAGGATTAATCGAGGAGTTGTGCAAACAACGTGTGCAATAATTTTGTTTGTAATTTTTTCTAAAATATAATCTTACTGTCAGAACCATGAGTCCTGAGCATTTTGTTTTTTGATTCATGTCAATACATGCCTTGGTTAATTTTTAAGAGCGAAATGAACTGATCACGATCAATTTGCAATTTTTTAAATTATCATTACTTTTTGATATAATTTTTTAATATGACGAGATGTTTTGGTGACTATTGTCGTAACGTCATATTACGCTGTATTGGGTACCCTATACTAAATCAAAAAAAAATAAGTTAAAGACTAACGATACACATCTGATTTTAACAAACATTATTAAGGATAATAGAACTAACGATATTAAAGAAAACATCTGTAATACTCAAGTATACAAACTAAAAAAAATTGTAAAAATACCTTTGTATTGCCTCCCTTAGCTGCTATAATTGCCTGTATAGGTCCGTTCATACTGTCAATGAGGCTGTATATATCATACTGCATTATGCTTTCCCATTCTTCTTTAAGAACCAAGCGAAGTTCATTTAATGAAGCTGGTGCCGCTTCGCGACCTCTAACCCTCCTGCCAAGCATTTCCCATACATCGAACCTGATGGGCAGTTCATAGTAGTATAGGTATCACAATAATCACCAAAGCTGCCTTGTCACATTGAAAAAAAAAAAAAAAATGGTAATTGAAAAAATTGCAAATTGTTGGTGACAAGTTCATTTCGCTCTTAAAAATTAACCAAAGCATGTATTGACATGATCCAAAAAATAAAATGCTTATGAGACATGGTTCTGACCGTAAAATTATATTTGTGATTATCTACAACTTTATCTAAAAACTTTTTTTCTAAAATAGAGTGTAATAGATTTTGGAAGCATATTTAAAATAGCCGAAATTGTTGTGACTTTCTAAGTCCAGTTGTTTCGAAGATACGTATAGAGGGAATCGTAGAAAACTTACCCTGTATGTTTCAAAAACAATTATGTATTAGAAAAAAAGACAAAAATATTCTTCAGAGATAAAAAAAAACACTTCAAACTCTAACGAATAAATATTTTAGCCAACCACTTTGAATAAACTGCACGGAAATAAAACGGTATAAATGCACTAAACTAATCCACTTTTTATCCTTTACGTTTAATAAAACCGCATTATTCAAGCTAAGCTTTTTATCCGACATTACTCTTCCGCAGAGACGGGTTTCCGCATTATTTCCGGATATTCCTGGGGGACTTCGCACAGCCGCTAGGTTGCTCATCGCGCAAATATTTTCATACGGCCGTAATCGAATTCTTCTTAGTCCGGCTCTGTCTAATTTGTTTGTGCCTAGCCGGGGCGGGCGCGTGTGTGTTGCCAGCTGCCTACCGTAGACAACAGGAAAATAAGAGGAAAAAATAGAAGAAAATGTGGATTTTATTTTATAATACGCTTCTTGCAAAAGAAAATGTGATATTGAATTAGTAAATTATCATTATTTAAGTTTCCTTTGTTCTACTCTTTATTTATGGTTTACTTACCTATACTTTATAAAAAATTATACCGTGTGCGTCTCAAAAGTGACTCACCCCTTACAGATCTATTTTGAGTCACCCTTTCTTGAGTTATAACGAGTTTTAGCTAATCATACAGTCTTAGGGCTTTAACAAAAGCCAGTATCCGAGACGGCTCCACAGAGGCCAGCTCTCCATCCTCGACATCAGCCGTACCAAAGTTCATGGTACGAACGGTCGTCGTCTCGGCGCCCTCAGTGATAAGGTGTTTTGGGTCATCTTCAATCCAAAAGCTCTACTCTACCATCTCAGCGAAGCCAGTTTTGTGTAGTTGAAGAGTAATCCTCCAATGTACCGTTATGACCCCTGTAATGGTAAGATTGCTTCTAGTTAGTTTCACAAACTTTTAAGCCTCATTTTCAGTCATTGGGGCCATAATTTATAACTTACACAATACTATAAATTATAAAGATAAACCTTATTACAAGTTCCCTACTGTCAAACAAGTTTTCTTTGTTCTACTCTTTTTTTGTGGTTTACTTACCTATATTTTTTAGCAAAATATACCGTGTACGTCTCAAAAATGGCTCACCCCCTATAACTTTTTTATATTTTCAGATAAAAAAAAACGAGATTTGATATGTTAGTACATGATATAAATTAAGATTGATTGAGGTGTTCAATTGCTTTTGGTTACTTCCTATTTCACCGAAAATGACTACAACTTTTGATTTTTAAATGGTACCCTCGGTATATTTTTACCTTCTTCGATAGAAAATGACACCTCTGAATATAATGACATACGTTAGTCAATTTTTTACATTTTTGCTTAAAAACAAATCGTATTTTAAATTTCAATCTAGCTAACCATGGCTGTGTTAAAAGCACTAATTTTTAATCAAGGAGCTTTGGAAAAATAATTTTGATCGTCTAATGTTTTTCGTGTCTTGTCCTGGCCGGTTAAAAGATGCCCAAATCTAATATTTAATAATATCTCAATTTTTTCAAATTGAACAAGGGTGGCTCATTAGCATATTTGGAAATAACATTTTTTACGAATAATTTGGTACCACACACTATAGGTATTTATACATTTTGTTACACTTTCAAATAAACCATATGCGAAAATGTCAAAAGTTGACATATAACATTGTATTCAGAGTGTCATTTTCTATCGAATAAAGTAGAAATATACTGGGGGCGCCATTTCAAAATCAAAAGTTGTAGTCATTTCCGGTGACCACCTAATCTTGGTGACCAGAAACAATTGAATACGTCAATCAATTCTAATTGATGTCATAATATAGCAACTCTCGTTTTTTTATCTGAAAAAAAATAAGAAAGTTATAGAGGTGAGTTACTTTTGAGACGCAACAGGTATACTGTATCGCATATAAGATACCACATTAAGGTTGATTCTCACTATAGGTACCTTCCATATCAGCTCCCTTCCGTTTCCATAAAATATTATATCATGTAAATGAATAGGACAATGCACACTATCCGTTCCGTTTCCCTTCCGTTCTATATCCTTTCCTTCCATACATTTTTTTGGCGGACGGACTGAAGCGTATCGGAAACAGCGTTGTCAAGTTCTTACATTTGTACCAGCTCTGTTAACATTTTGCTGATATTTATTTATTCTTTCACATCTTTATTAAATCTATACCTTTTTCAAAAGATACACATTTTTAAAGTAAAACTTTCGTAATAATATAAATTGTACAATAAAAAGTATGGAACTGATACGGAACGGAAGCTTACGTATAGCGTCAATACAATAAAAATACGGAACGAATATGGAATGGAAAGGGAAGGTATAGTGAGAATTAACCTTTAAAGAGATCTCGTCAGCAGGTTCACATACAGGATACAAACATCACTAAATTAGAGAAAATTTGCGCTTTGCTGAGCACTACAACGCGCAACGTCGTGTTTTGAAATTTAAAAAAATCCACCAATCACTTTCAAAGATAGTTGAGAAAAACCAAATAATATTTCCGATTTTGTTTTTATTTATTTTTTCTGGCTCTATTTGAGAAAATAGAACAATACAAATTTTACGTTTCCATTCCTACTTTTCCTGGAATACAAATTTATGGTATTAAATTTTCAATCTGCAAATTTGTTTTCCGAGATATTACCTTCAACAATTTTTTTAAATACAAACCTGTATTTCTTATTTTATTTTTTAAAGGTTTTGTAATCTTAATAATGCAACACATATGCCCAAAAAATGTAATTTTGAAGCGAAACTTCTTTACGCGTGAGTAAAAATTCAAGGCCGTGACACGAGGCGCGACGCGACACAGGACACAACAGGCGAGAGGAAAAGTGGTAAGGACTGCGACTTCGAAAAAATCGTCCGGTTTAAATTAAATTTGGTATGTCGATAGATTGGACCAAGGCCAACTTGACCGTGTACGACACGTGTCACTGTGACAGTTAATTTTGACGTAAGAAACGTCAAAAGTTGATGTCATAATTGGGGACGCCCTACAGGATGACGCCTTAAATCATTCAATTTACTAGCTGTTAGTAAGAAGTTTCATTTCAAATATGCGCACATAGTGCACACACTGTTTTTTATATTCCCATAAAGGGCATTTTGTAGGTAAGTGTGATACATTATTGCATTTGGGAGGTCATAAGCTTTTAAAAAAGGCAGTAAATCCTGATCAGTGTGCTTGCCAGGCACGCATGCCGGGTACGCATAGACTATTTTTTCTCTATTATTCTCTCCATTAATTGATTAAAAAAAGGCTTGTCGTATACCTATATGTTATGTTTGCATTGACTATTACGACTCTGTGCAATGCAAATTTTGTTATTTATTTAAATATGTATTAAAATATTATTCTGTTCTTCCATTAAGAGTTTATTACGCTGTACTGTTTGGGTCGCTCTCAGGGGTCGACCCGTCATTTTATTGGTTTTATGGAAAGCACTGTTCATTAAAATGTTTTATCCTATGTTATAGGGCTTGTTTCTGTCTACAGTTTCCTCACAATGTACCGTTTGTGTCGGGGAAAGGATCACAGTTTCATAGTTGTTGATTTTTGAAAGAAATCAGTACATGTATATTATTTCGTATATTTTTCATTTTATTGATTTTATGGAAAGCACTGTTTATTATTAATATGTTTTATCCTATGTTATAGGGCTTGTTTCTCTCTACAATTTCTTGTCTCACAATGGACCGTTTGTGTCGGGGAAGAGATCATAGTTTCATAGTTGGTTAGGTTGTAATTAATAAATATAATAACCACACACCCGATTTTCGAAAAAATCGGGTCTGTGGCCAAAAGAAATATATATTATATTTCAGAAATCTGCCTAAGGCTGTGCCCGATCCTGTCGTGTTAAGCCACATCCAAAATTCCAAACACACGTGCTTTGATTAAGGCTTGATTAAGGTTTGCAGTGCTTCAGCATTTGCCATAAAATAGCGAGCAATTTGTTACTAAACTATTAGTACTACTACTATATATCATTCTAATCACAAAACTACAAGCTATTTCCGTATTGTATCGGAATT